GTACGCGGTCCAGTTTTGGTCGCCGGTACTGAGAAGGGATGTCCTTGAACTGGAGAGAGTCCAGCGGAGGGCAACAAAACTAATTAGGGGAACGGAGGACCAGAGCTATGGAGACAAGGGGGAGGGGCTGGAGGACCAGAGCTATGAGACGAGGCTTCTGACCTTAAACATGTTCACGCTGGAATTAAGGAGGAATATGATTTTCATGTACAAGATGTTCAATGGTGACGGCAACATTGGCAACAAACTGTTTGAGATTAACTCCATTACAAAGACTAGAGGCCGCCACCTAAAGTTGGTGGAGAAAAAATTCCAGCACAAGGGGCGAAGAGGGTTCTTTACAGTAAGAGCGGTTAAGGTCTGGAACTCACTGCCATCGGCCGTCATCTCAGCCAAGAGTGTAGATTTGTTCAAGAAACGTTTGGACAATTTCTTGAGGGACCGTAATATCCGGGGGTACCAGTATCCCTAAGAATGAGATGATGCGCGGACCTATACAGGTTGGACTTGATGGACGTATGTCTTTATTCAACTCCAAATACTATGTAACTATGACTTTTTGTTACTTTTTTTCCGACATTGTTTTCACTTCGGCTAAGACTCGGCACAACTGAGAAACCAAACCGGAGCAGCTTTATAAAAAGGCAAAACTGGGAATAAATCTGTGCCAGCGGTGACACATATTGACACATCGGGACGATATTGATACATCGGGACGATATTGATACATCGGGACGATATTGATACATCGGGACGATATTGATACATCGGGACGATATTGATACATCGGGACGTTGAGGAAATCAGAACAAGTAACTCGGTTTTACCTTCATTGGGCCTGATGTCTTTTTCATCCGGAGTGTATCCAATAGCAGCGAGACCCAGACGGTTCATCCACCTGAAAAAGAAGAATAATTAAAGGTCCACAACATTCCGCTTATCTTTTCAGGCTCACATCATATAACAACTACATGCACGTATATTCAATGATCAATCGCAATATCGGTTTATAACGCCAAATGATTTGTCCACATTTCTTCATTGGATTGTTCCGGATGGTGGAACTCATCAGTATTTTTTAGAACCAGGATTACAGATTGTGGTGATATCATTGTATCTGCCGTCGGGGTCTGATTTCCAGCCATCGTCCTGGTTTTGATTTGTCATACGGATTGCTGCTTGTGAGACTCATCCATGGACTGTGTGTTCTGAATAGGGATGCACCGGTATTGGTGCCGATACCGAGTATTTGGGCAAGTATTCGTACTCGCCAAAATGCTCCGATACCTTCCCCAATACCGTAACTTATGGTCAGAGGAAGATCTCCTCTGATCGGCAGTGCCGTAGGGAAACATGGGGCCAGCTTCCCGTGCGACCAGGAAGCCGGGCGGCGAGTAATGACCCGGCTTCCTGATTGGCCGGGAAGCTGGCTCCTTGCTGATTGGCAGGGAAGCCGGCTTCCCGACCAATCAGCATCGAGCTGGCTGAATACCTGGGTCGATGGCTAGGAAGCTGGCTTTTCAGTCAATCAGTATCAAGTCGGCCGAACAACCTGCTCCATGCTGATTGGCAAGGAAGCTGGCTTTGCAGCCAATCAGGAAGCTGGGAGCTCAGGTCATTAGTCGCCACCTGGCTTCCTGATTGGCCAGGAAGCCAGGTCGATGCTGATTGACTGGGAAGGCGGTTTTCCGGCCAATCACAATCAAGCCGGCCAAACAACATGGAGACCCGGCTTCCTGGACAGGAAGTCCGGCGGCATGTCATTACCCATCTCCCGGATTCCCGATTGCCCGGGAAGCCATTCACAGCCCCTCCTACCGGCTCCTAAACTTCACTGTGTGACCTGGAACTGTCAGTGGCAGTTAGGTCACAGTGCTAGGGGCATGTGATTGCACATATTAACCTCTTACCGTCAGCTCCTGCTGGCCCTTTAAGAGGTTCTAAACACCAAAGGGCCGGTAGGATGGGCTCCTGATCATGTGATCACTTTGAATGCCACAGCCCCTCCTACCGGCTCCTTAACTTCACTGTGTGACCGGGAACTGTCAGTGAGGTCACAGTGCTGGGGCCATGTGATTGCACATATTAACCTCTTACCGTCAGCTCCTGCTGGCCCTTTAAGAGGTTCTAAACACCAAAAGGCCGGTAGGATGGGCTCCTGATCATGTGATCACTTTGGATGTCACAGCCCCTCCTACCGGCTCCTAAACTTCACTGTGTGACCGGGAACTGTCAGTGGCAGTGAGGTCACAGTGCTGGGAGCATGTGATTAAACATATTAAACTCTGTCAGCTCCTGCTGGCCCTTTTAAGAGGTTCTAAACACCAAAGACCGGTAGTATGGTCTCCTGATCATGTGATCACTTTGGCTCTCACAGCCCCTCCTAGCCGGCTTCCGCTATTCACTGTGTGACCGGGAGACACTGAGGGCACACGATCGAACGCACTCTAAGCACAAAATTGTCTGCTGAGCGCTGTGGTGTGCATTGTTCTATTGATAGACAACTGGCAGAGCCATTGGCCCCCAGGAATCTCTGTGAGCTTTCGTTCTATGTGAATAGAGGCCAAAAAATGTTCTCAGTATATTTTCTTTCTAGGCCGATTGTAATGTAATACTGCGTTATGGCCACTAGATGGCTCTGAGGAGCACAGGAAATACATATTTTCTATGCTCCTCAGCTCCATCTAGTGGCCACCGTGTGGTATTACATTTGACATGAATAGAAAATACACTAAGAACGTTCGTTTTGGCCTCTATTCGCACAGAACGAATGTTCACAGAGATTTACAAGGCGATTAACTCTGCACATTGTTTATAAATTG